ATCTTGAAGATCTACCTGGGCTTTTTTTTCCCCTCCCCCCAGAGAGCCATGAAAGATAAGATCAAAAGTTCATTTAGCCAAGTGAACTTACTGTTTCTGACAAGTGACACCACTAGATGCTTTACAGCAAAAGTGGCCAACCCATGGCATGGCTGGCTGCTGTGTGGCACATGGCTGACTGTGGAAGGGACAGGCAGCGCAATGGCAGAAAGGGCAAGGAGTACAAAGAAGAGTGTCAGGTCAGGTAGAAGTACAGGGCAAGAAGCAGAAAGCTGAGTAATAGCTTAGTCAGAAAGCAGAGTAGCAGCTTGGTTAGGGATCAGAAAGCAGAGCAGCCAATCAGGTAGAGGATAGAGATTGCAGGGGCACTTACGGAGGGTACAGTGCTAATTTGTGGCACCTGCCAAAAAAGTTTGCCCACACTGCAAATAAATTTCTTTGTGGAGAATTATTACGATAGCTTGCCTTAAGGGAAGCTTTTTCCTAATTTCTACATTTAGTTAATATGAGGATTAACAATTTATTTCATTCTATTTAATATTACATTCATTTCTCATTCTCTATACTAAACATCTAAATTTACTTTTCAGGCCCAACCAAATTCCACAGACTAGTCACGTAAAAGAGCTTGGGGCTCTTCCCACATACACTCAAGTTAGTTGTCTCTTCAATTCATGAGCATATCTTTGTTTTTTGAGAGAAAAGGTGCACAGGAGTACTTAATTTACCTTCTTTATGCTAGTTTTTTTACTTTGTTTCTACTCTAAGCTAAACCAGGTCCCAAGTACTTTCTTCCTCTCTACATAAGAACTCTTCCCATGCTTCTAATTGCCACTTTGCTTGCTACTACTTTCCTGTACTGTCTTTAAGCATACTGGTTAAAATTAAAACTAAGTGGTTTTCCAAATGAAAGCATACCATTGATTTATATGCTGTTATTTATATGTCAGATTTTCTAAATTCGTAAATCTTAACACTTTTTTGACCACTGCTGCATAGAAAGTAGATATTTTCATTGAGCTGTCCACAATGATTCCCAGTTTTTCCTCCTAGTGCATAGTTAATTAAGAATCAAAAACCATGTAATACCATTCTAATGTGTTCCTAGATATTTTTAAACAAGATGCATGGCTTTGTTTAGACTGTTTTGATTGGCTCCTCTGTTGTTCCTCAGTCTTTGACTTAACTTCATTCACCATTTTTCTGACTCCTGGTTTTCTCTTGGACAACTTCTAATAAAAAAATGCAACAATTGTCTCATAAAAAGATTAGTTTTCTAAATATGAGAATTAATCCTAGATCCTCAAAGGTACAAACAAGAATGAGACATCTCTGAGGATCAGGTTCTTAAGGTGTCCAAATGTTTTGTATCTACAAATTATTTTAATTCTAATTTTATGGACATTAAATAAATACAGAGTACAGGCATATTACTTTACCATGCTGTGTTTAGGCTCACATATTCATCTGTCAGAATTACATTTCAAATGTACATTTCATTTTGATAGAGCTCAACTCAAGTGTTGTCTCAGGAATGACAATTTGGAGGAATCTCTCTGAAGTAGGTTTTGCAGCCATGCTGGAAACTGGGGAGGATCATTTTATCTAATCTGATGGGCAACAGTGGAAGTAAGAGATTTCCAGAATAATTCACAGTACAAGGCTGAGAAATTAGACTTGGAGAACTATGGAATCTAGACCTAAAAATATGATAGTGTTCTCAAACACTTCCCCCAACTAAGTAAAAGATGACTGGACAACATCAAAACTCCTTGACCTTAAAGGTATCTGCTAATCATATGGCAGGTCCTTGAGCTATAAATGAATAACTGTGTTTATATCAGAGTGCTAGCTGTCCTTGCTACCACATGATCTGCAAAGGATAATTTCATCTGATGACTGGTGACCTTATTAAATCAGCCTCCTAAAGCTCTTGAGCATGAAAAAAGCAAACTCTCCCCCACAGTTTAAAGTAACTGTCCTTCATTTGACAAATTCCAATATAAGGTACTGGCACTGCAGCCAGTAAAACCTGAATAAGGATCATCCAAGTGCATGAATTTAGAGAAAGACACCTACAGCATTCAGCCAACTGTGGCTCTTGCTATAAAATTTTCATCTATTCAGGTAGACTGTTGCTATTATATATATAGACACATACATACATATATATATATACACACACACTATAGTCTGTCGGTCTATAAAAATAGCAAGTCTATACTTGAAGAGATGAAAATGTTATCACAACACATTATATACATATGACAACATACGTATGTATGTATGTATGTATGTTTTCAAGGGGGAGGTCTGCTTCCCAGTATCTTGATAACATGACATTTTGGTATGTGATTACTTCATCAGTGAGTTCTGAAGTCTGCATTTGGTGCTGACAGTGTCCTGAAACCTCTAGTCTCTCTGATGGGAACAAGAGACCTAAATTCTTCTCAAGTCAAAAGCAACATGCAACACATTTAAAACTAGTAAAATTTAAGAAGCATGCATAACATAGGGAAAAGTGGTGATTAGCAGGAGAAATGCTTAAAAATTCATAAAGAGATAAGATGACTACCACTGGTCAGGTTTTTTGGGTTTTTTTAAAGTTTTTCCACTGACCACAATTAGAAAGTACTGTAAACAAACTAGTGCTATTTGCACATATAATGTGGGATGCCTTCCTCTACTGCAACAAATAGTTTGTAAATCTACAGAAATAGGAGTTCTGACACCTGCTTGTAAGTGTACAAACCAAAATCCACTGAAGACCATATTTTATATAGTTCTATATCTAACTAGGTAACCATACCACTGCTTTCTAAGATGTTTCACAATAGTTTCTTCCCCTGCAAAGTCTATATACAGGTTTCCCTCGCTTTATGAGGGTTCTCAATGTGCGAATTCGCTCTTATGCGATGACCTTTTTTATTCCAAAAATTAGTTATATGCTGGGTAAATTCACTCTTATGTGATCAGTGTGGTGGAAACCACAAAGTCAGCTGCTTTGTGCACTGCACTGTGGGAGTGACGCATACCAAAATATAGTCTCCTGTGTGGATCTGTGCTCCTCACTCATTGTCTGTGACATGTGTTTGTGTAATTACCATCCCCATGATGACAGTGCTTGTGTGTACTGTCTGCTGTTGGCAAGTACCAAAATCGTCTTGTAAAAGTGGTAGAAATGGGTCTGGGGGTCAGTACAGTCAAGGTCTTGGAATATATCCCTATTTGTTACATTGTAAAGTGGGTTTCTTTTATGTGAATTTGAGTTATGAGCCGTTTTCCAGGAACACATGTACAGCATAAAGCAAAGGAAAACTGTATTTAAAATGTCTCTCTGAAACATTAATATTGTTTGAAATGTTAATATTTCACAAGCTAACCGTTCTTGTTTTATAGTAATGCATTTGCTTAATGCCTATTGATTTTGCCTGCCGATTTTTGCCATAATAAAACTTTAAACAAAACAATATAGTCTGAACAGACCGAAGAGCTATTATCAGGCATCTCTAAATACTGCATGTAAACCATTAGGGCAGGCCTACCATGCCAGGGTTAATACAAAATTGCGTATGTCTGCAAAAAGGTATAACAGAGGATCTTTTAGAAAAATAATCACCACCTGCCTCATTCTATAATTCAGTTTCCAATCTCTCAAAATAAAGGTAAACAAGGAAGAGGTTCCATCCAATTATTCACTGTTAAAACCTATTCCAAATTTAGGATTCAGAACTCAACCAGTTACTGTAATAATGTCAGGAATTTATGAGCCACCTGCTAAGCTTTAAAAGCAGGTGTCATCACCTCCATAACTATTTTATTCTTCTGAACAACTGCTACTAGCTTGACAGGTAATATCAGTTTTCTCTTGTTACACATTCTCTCAGATTATGTTATATAGTTCAGAATGAAAAGGTAGTGTTATCTCTGAGACAGGTTAGAGAACTGTACTACACTTCTTCTGGTGCCATGTATATAGTAATTGCTATCATGACTGAAATTATGAGGCCTATAGAAAAATAGCTCATGGTAGAGGTCACTAAAAAACTGAATTTTTTTTTGAGAAATACAAGTGCCTTAAGGAAGACAGAATAGACTGGAGGAGGGGGGATGCATTGGATTTTAGGGAGATAAGATGTGCTAATTAAATTTATCCAAGGAAAACCCCAAATTGATGTTCAAATCTTGCATGGAAGGAGAACTTCAGTCTGGAAGTAGCGTGGGTGGGACTTACCATCAAGTGATCCAGGACTGACAGCTATGAACTGTCCCACTGTATCCATAAGAGGATGAAGCAACCCATTAATAACGGATTGGTGGATATGGGAATGATAAACACTACTATACCTAGAATCACAAGTACAGATTGATGGGGGAAGGGGAGGAAGAAAGAGAAAGAAAGTTAGAAAAGAATATGCAGGAATGCTAGTCAACTATATGGGTGTACAGTCTTGACTAACGTTTCCTTAACTGCATTGAGACACAAAATCGATCAATGTCACTCACTAGATTGCAACTAAATTTTATTTTTAAAATGTCTTCCACCTATACAAAGGCTTCAACCGCACGCTTGGATGATGTATGTTTTACTTCCAAGCAAGGAAGTTTATACCAAGGGGGAAAAAAAAAGGCACACCACCATTTGATTTCAGTTTAAACAGGTCAGTTAAACTGGGAAGTCCACAAGGAACTGAACTTCAGAAGACTAAGCCCAGTTTTTGGTTTTTTTTTTTTTTGACTCTCAGCCCACTTACAAAGAAAAAGGAATGAGGAACAAGCTTGACAGGGCAGGGGCTGTTTTTCCATGCGTGTTCACAAAGAAGACAGTGTCTTCAAAGCACTACTACAATATAAACAATTAATGAAGACAAATGACCAATATTCAGCTTCCTTGAAGTACTTAGAAAATCTTCACATATTAAAATACATTAATCATGGGATAGTCACAGTAGTTCACCAATCCCCAAATATAAACTATCATGTTTTATAATAAAACTTACCTTGAAAGGCTTGTCCCCACTGTGAGTCAGCATATGCCTCTGTAACCAACTTTGACTTGTGGAAGGCGTGTTATATACTTTGCAACCTTTCCATAAGCAAACAAATACCTAATAAAGGAAAAAAGTGGCTAGTTAATTTATAAAACAATATTTAGACCCTACATAGACCATTTTTCTTTTGCTTGTCATGAAAAGAAAGTTTGCTTTCTCATAATAGGTTGCCCACTCATCTGGCAATGAAATGATAAGCATAGGTATTCAAAGGCGGCTTACTGGCCAAAGTGTTGTGCAAATGCTCCTCTAGGTAAGAGGAGCTGCACTATGAAACTGGTAGATATGTATACAACACCCTGAAATTGATTACTAAGAAATTAAGAAAATTCTAGGCTGATTAAATAAAAGGGGAAAGAGCATTCTCATTCACAAACAAGTTTATTTCTGAACATAAGATCAAGTTAAAACCATTTTACAGTATCACAAGGCCTAAATACCTACTTTTTTTTCTTTTTCAGATGTTCCAAAAGTAGATCAAATACCCACATGCCCATCATAAAAACACCCACAAGATTTTTTTAATTGTAGTGCGAACCAGTTACTTCCAGGTGATGCCAAAATAATTATTTTTAAGTGCATAACTAACTGTTTTTGAAGTACTGAGTAGTTTAGTTCTGGTTCCCTTTTTTTTTTTGTTCCCCCCCCCCCCCAAAACAAACTCCAATTTCTATTTGCCCAAGGCCTTTCTACATTCTTTTACGGGTTCAAAATGCCAACGGCAAAAATATCTGTTATTAAATAGGCTTTTTTCCAATCCATCAAGCCAAAGATAAACTCCTGCCATAATTCACTTCTATCAAGTAATTGTTTAAACAATTAAAGTACGTTTTTAAAAAAAATGCTATATTCTTTCCTACAGACATAGCTGCTGAATTCTAGGTCATTCTCTATTTTTCATCAAGTCTGGCTGGTGGATTAGAAAGCATTCGACTAGGTTCTCTGTAATTCAATGGACTACTGACACATCAGTTGTACACAGAGCAGCACATGGTAGGGAAGGACTCTCATACCATGCAGCTGGTCTTTCAATTAATCTGTTTTCTCTCTGTTGCACAGAATATGGACAAGGATCTGGGACTCAAGAGTTCTCTTTATAGGTCTGAGGAGCTGAAGGGGACACAGTCATAACATATAAAACTGGGCAGAACTAACCAAAACTCAGGATTCTGGGTCCCTGTGCCCACCTTTTTTAAAGTTGCTCTGGTGCTGAATAGAATCCAAACTAAAATTTGCAAAATTGTGAAATGGTTAAAATACCCACTGTTTTCAAAATACTGTAATACGGTGTTTTGAAAGTATGATACTGGGACCTCACAGCTGCTCAGTGGAACTTCTTAGCAGTGGGGTCCCCAGTCTGGGGCAGTTTACATGGTGGGCCTCTCTCTTTCCTAAAAAACCTGGATATCAGTTCTAGTAATGGCAGGCTTCAACTACAAGTTCCATGGCAGGGAGCTTGGAAAGCCCTGACAAGATAAAGTAGGGACTTCAAGGATTTTCATATTCCCAGTCTCTCTCTAACTTTGGCACAGCTGCCTGTCCCAAAGTTAAAGAGCCTGGAAGCATTATGCTCTCACAGCCACAAGGCAAGTCCAGGGATTCCAGTATTCTCAGGGTCTGTGGCTGCACACTGCACAGTGACTACAGAGACAGGAACCACTACAGTTCAGAGGCTGCTGTATGATGCAGATGCCCCAGTACTGGAGACCTTCTCCCATTTATGGCAACACTACCAATCGTGACATCATGGAATAGGAAACCCTGGTAGCCTGTCACAGGATTGCCAGGTTCTGAATCTTAACTGTGTAGCAGAGAGCTGAGCTTCAGTTACAGACCCAACAAGGTTGGCAGCCCAAAACCAGGTGGATAGTAGAAGTGCCAGAGTCTCTAGGAGTCCACCAAGGATCCTGCCTTTGTTTTGGAAAAAAGTCTAAATCAAAGATTTAACTTTGACAAAACATTTTAGGTTCAAGCAACAACAATTTTAAATTAAATTCTCTTTTCCTGATAAATGTATGGATTCCACAAAGGAGCCCTTGGAGCCAGTTAAAATGCTGCTGCTTGGCAGTTTGTGGGTGGTCACTCCCACTGGTGCTAGTTCCAGAGCTGTAGCCTCTTCATTTAATAATATTAAAAGGTGCATGCATGTATCACTGATTTTACGTCCAAAGAATTACTTGCACGTAATTTCTCTCTCTCTCAGTAGTACCAGTCATTGTGCAAATAACTTGATTTTAAATACTCCCTACAGTGTAGCCATGAGCTATACCAATGCCTCACCAGCAGGTGGTGGACAAATCCCTACTCTTTTGAACAAAATAGCCAGGAACTCAGCTTTTCCTCTGAAATTCAGAACTTTAATTTTTAAAGATACAATAAAAAAATTCACAACTTGGCAAGACATATATGTAACCAAGTGCAGACTCACTGCAAACAGTGTATTCGGATACTCACAGCTTCAGAAAGCCTCTTATTTCTTTAAAAAGAAGTCTATTAGAGCATATTTTGCAGACTAAAAGGTTCCAGGAATACAGTATTATTAAAGCAAAGACCCAGATCTTGTCCTGCCTCCAGGACATCTCAGCTGCACTTCTGTAGCTTTTAGACATCTAAGTCTGTGAGTCATCTAAGTCTGCAATCTTATCTGAACACATGACACCCTGACCCTTTATGTCTGTCCTGGCCTGGAAAGATCCCTAAGCAACTAGACTTGCACAGGCTCCAATTAGGGATGTAAATAACCTTTTAAAATATTTGTTTAACCTCCTCTAATTATATTGGTTAAACAAATAACAGATAACAGCAGCTTCCACACTGAGAGCCACTCCCAGCTCCCCTGGCCTTTTTGACTGTGTGGGGAGAGGGGAGGAGGGCAAGCCCAGCCAGGCAACACAGCACAAAAACCCCTGAGGGTAGGAGGGAGGGAGTACCTGTAAAGGACCAGGTAATTGTTTAAATGATTAATCATTAGGCTACTCAATATTTTCCTCTTAGGCTATGAGTACTAGTCCCCACCCTTGCCCCTCTCCCAGTTACCCTACTGCCTTCTGATTCCTGACTTCTGATTCCTGTTGGGGCACCAGGGGGCTTCCCTTCTCCTACCTTCCCTGCCAGACTGCACACACCCAGAGCTAAAGGATAGCTGGTAAGCTAACCTAGTTACAACAAGTAATCGTTTAACTTTACATTCCTAGCTTCAATGCAATCCAGAACAACCATCTAGACATCTACCACTACCCCTACTCTGTTACAATTCGATTGTGTTTTGAAAACACCCCTTAGGTCCCATAAAACAGGGATGAAAAAACTATGCCAAAAAACTACTGGATGTACAGGATTACAGCAAAGGAGTGGAGAGTCCTACCTTTTCCTAGTAATCTATTTGGTTTTGGCATCTGTTCTAGGCCCTCCTTAGCTAAAGAAGCATTTACACCCACAGCTCCGACTACCCAGAAAAGCGTCCAAACTACAAGTCAATAATGGACTAGGTGGGTCTGGAGGTATCCCTCCAGCAATCGTGATCAAATATCGGGGTTTTCCATTTCCCATGGAAAAACGGAGAAAACCACGGATGCCCTGTTTTTAATTGGAGAAAACACGGATTTCTCTTTTTAGCAGAGAAATCCGTGGATTCTCTGCTTTTGCAAAGAGCTCTTGCAGGCTGGCACGGCTCCAGCCTGCAGGAGCCAATTGCAAAAAGGGCGGGAAAGCCCCAGCACTGCCCAGAGCGTGTGCGTGCCAGGAGGGGCGGGGGGGCGGCGGCCAGCCTGAGCCTCTAAGGCAGCCAAGGCCCAGCTCAGGCTCACCCTTCACCCCTGGAGCATGGAGGCAAGTGGGGCTGTGGGGATGGTTGGGAGCTAAGGGAGCAGGGGCGCTGCCGGGCCCAGGCAGCACATCGTATCTGGGAGCAGGGCCAGGGGTGAAGGCGGGGTGCCCCTCTGGGGGGGGCCTTGCGGGCAAGCAAAGCAGGGCACAGTGTGGTGGTGCCCACCACATGCAGGCCGCATACATGCCGCCCGGCCGGCTGCCCAGGGGAGGGGAAGATGGAGGCTGGCATGCGGCTGGAGCACAGCTCTGTGGCCAATGCTGCAGCCACAGCGAGGGATTTGGGGGGGGGGCGCGGCTTGGGTTTGCATGTGGCGCTGCCCCTTACCTGTAGACTCATGGTGGCAGTGACAGCCGCTGCCTCCAAAACCTCCCACTACCACCATGGAGCCATGCCTGGAGCCGTGTGGCCGGCCACCGGGCGGCAGCGTGGTGGTGGCCGGGCAGCACGCGCCACCACCACCCCATGCTGCACCGCTATCGCCAGCTGCACAGCTCCGAGCATGGCTCCGCAGCAGCAGGTTTTGGAGGCAGAGCCAGTCACTGCTGGCACATATAGTGGCAATTTCACTATACGCAATTTTTGCTTTTACGCGCTGCCTTTAGAACATAACCCACGCATAAGATGTGGGATGCCTGTATATCTATGTATACATTATCTATATAGGTCAAATCAGTCTCTCCTCCCCTCCCCCCACCCCTCCCTCTGCTTGGCATATCACTGAGCTGCTCTACTTTGTATTAATAATTTGAGTATTTCAGTATACAGACTTCATAGGACAAATTGGGATACATAAGATTAAACCTACATTTCCTATATTTTAAACCATTCTACTACTGTCTGCTATAGACCAGCAGACCAGCAGGATGAGGTAGAACAGGCTTTCTTCAGACAACTAGCAGAAGCTTCCAGATTATAGGCCCTGGTTCTCAAAGGGGACTTCAATCATCCTTACATCTGTTGGGAGGGCAATATAGCATAGATTCATAGATTCTAGGGTCAGAAGGGACCTCAATAGATCATCGAGTCCGACCCCCTGCATAGGCAGGAAAGAGGGCCGGGGATTGAT